TAGAGACAAATCAAAGCACGCAACACATCTACCGCCACTTTGATGTGCCATAGGGGCGTTTTCTTGGAAATACCGCGTGACACTACGAGAACTGCGGGCTCAACCTGGTTCAGGTCATTATTATCTAAGGTCTTCCCTAAAAATAAGCGAGAGGAACGAGAGGGAACAGGCCACTTCCGAGTTCTCGCGGTTCAGTGATCCGATGCCGAAATAATTATGGCGCGAGAACGAGGCTAAGTGTGAAGTCACTCATCGGTACAAAGAATAAAGTGAGCGAAATTTCTCGAAATTTCAGTGTGGGAGACTGAAAAACTATTTGTGAGAGAGAGAGGCATTCAGTGAAGTGATGGTGGCAAAGGAAAGAAAAAAGAACTGTTCGATTTATGCAAGAAAGCTGAAAGCGATACAGCCGCAAAATAAGTGAGCATGCTCCGCTATAGCTATTCGAGTCATTTGAACGTTCAGGGCCACGATTCTTCTTCAGGGGGTTTGCTTACTGAGGAGGCGATAACAAGTAGCTAGCGCTAACGTAATAACAGGTGCTACGAACCTCGTAACCATGTTATTGCTACTCAAATTCAGTCACTTAATTCACCCCTGTTAATTACCACAACATTTTTTTGTAACGTGAGATATGCGACGAAAAAGGTTCGAAAGAAACTTTCCTGAAAACGGCAACTTATCTGTTTTGATTTGGGCCTAAACCCGCGTAATGAAAAAAAGAAATAGGAATTTTAAAAATGCCGCCATTTTGCCTCGATACTGTTACTATGGAAATATTGTCGTTCCCGTTCGTTTCTTGCGTAAATTTCTCACGAGTTACAAGCATGCGCACTCATTTTTGTATCCGACGGCTGTGCCCGACGCTGTATCCGACGCTGTGTTCCTGAGATCATTTCAACGTGCACACATATGCAAACGTTTGACCACTGAGCTTTCTACGATCTCCCTTTCCCTAGGGTCTCAATAGGGTTAACCATTAGCCGCAAAAGGGTTAAAAAGTTTAGCCGTTACGCAAAAAAACGACAAATTTTAACGTCATTCGTGAAAAAAAAAATTAATCCGCTTAGACAGTAATGGGCTCCCGTCTTAGAATATTTCTCTGGTGACTACAATGGAAAACTATTAGCCTTAAGCCATAAATTGGCCTTGAAGTTTTAACCGTTAGCAGTAAAAGCCATCACTCCATTGAGAACTGTCACTCAGAGTCCTCATCTCTTTCGGTCACAAAGACAACAAAACCTTTCAGCCTGCCAGAGCCAAGATATCTCAAAGGAGCTCTAAACAGTCACAGAGACCAGTAAGTCACAGTGTCCCAAAGACATATAACCTTTTTGGTAAATCAACATCAACATGATACCCGTAGTTGTATATGCCGGACGTTTACACCTTTTGTAATACACACTGAACCTACTTAAAAATGCGAACTCTGGATATAGAGATCGTCACACTGCATGATCGCAATGAGGGCTCTCCTTGGGAGGTTGGTACTTCCCCCTTTCTACGTCGAGTAAATACGAAATGTAGTAACGTACGTGAAAAAATTACGTGCTCCTGATTGGCTGAGAACTAGTGCATTTGTAATGTAACACTGACATAGCTTCATTCTAACGCGCGCTCTGATAGTTTCCTAAGTAGCTAGAGATGCTCTCGGCTGCACCTCGAGTATCTCTTAAGCTACCTTCTTGTTCTCCCAACTATCCGCGTACATTGTCCATTCCTTA